AGCAGGAAGATTTCATAACTTGTGCTTTCATCTACACGTTTTTTCTAATGTTCCTTAGCTTGAGAAGAAAGTGGAAAAAAAGAATCATAAGGTAAAGGAAATAGTTCTAATCCTAGTCAAGATATATTAAATTCAGTAATGCTCAGACGTGATGTAAGTGTTCAGGATTTGTACATAAATGAAATTAAAAATATTTGGGGAGGAAAAGCTATCTAAATGTCAGAAAAAAAGAAATACAAGCTATAAAATGCTGTGAAAAATCACATGGACCAGAGTAATATAGATGTGCTGTCTTAGCAAAGAAATCACAGAGGGTATGCAAATAGAGAATGAAAATGACACATTTTTACTCGATTCAAAAGCATTATCCATAATAGCATCTGCAATGTGGCTGCAATAATAGGATGTAAATTGGAATTTACATAACAGATCTTTGGAAACAGGCTCTGATTCACAGTCTGACAATGGTGTCTCCAGTAGGGCAAGTCAACCAGTAGCAGGAGAACTTCACAAAACATCTATGGCATATGTCAGGGTTCACCCATTTGCCCCCCTTTCCTGTTTGCACAGAGCATCTCAGGCATCAGGTGTAATAAAAACTCAAATAGCTGGTCTTGGAAACCTTTGGTATTTTTTTCCTAATTAGACAGGTCATTTTCTTTGGGATGAAAAAAGGTTTTGTGAATGGTGATAGATTGAAAACCTCCAAAACTGGAAATCCTCTATTTATGTTCTTCTCCCTCAGCCTGGAATTAATACACCATCTCCTATTCCTGTCTCCCTTTGTCTGCAAGCAGACATTTTCCCAGTGTTGGTGCGTTCTGTTCCCATCTTCTTTTTGCCTCTCAGCAGAGGGGGTTCATCCAAGCTGACATGTCTACTGCCTGTTGCGTGGGAAAAAGAGTCGCCAATTTAACTAAGCCAGCAGTAGGATTCATCCACTGTTGGCTTTATTTCCTTCATGGTCAGGGCTTCAGTTAAGTGACAGTCCCCAGTAATACCTTGTCCAAGGATGGTCGGATGCCTTGATTCACATGGTGGTGCAGAGCTGAGGTCAGATCTGATTTTATTCTGATGTTCCTTCTCCATACAGTCCATGGTCATTGTTCTGTCCTTCCCTTTCATTTGCTGGCTGATGTACCAAGTTTTTCAGGGCTAACTAATGTTAGACTGGAGTCCAGTGCCGTGTTATTAATTTTGGATGAGCTTTGCTAACTCAATCATCTGAATACTCCATTAGATTCCTGTGAGTAATCATAAAATAGAATCATAGAATCAAATAGAATCATAGAATGGTTTGGATTGAAAGGAACCTTTAAAGAACGTCTAGTCCAACCCCCTGCACTGAGCAGGGACATCTGCAACTAGAGCAGGTTGCTCAGAGCCCCGGACAACCTGACCTGGAGTATTTCTAGGGATGAGGCATCACCCATCTCTCTGGCCAATCTGGGCCAGGGTCTCACCACCCTTATTTTAAAAATTTTCTTCCTTCTATCTGGTATAAATCTCTCCTCTTATAGTGTAAAACCATCCCTCCTTGTCCTGTTGGTACAGGCCCTGCTAAAAAGTTTGTCCCCATCTTTCTTCTGGGCCCCCTTTAAGTACTGAAAAGCCACAAAGAAGGTCTCCCTGGAGCCTTCTCTTCTCCAGGCTGAACAAGCCCAACGCCCTCAGCTTGGCCTCACGTTAGAGGAGTTCCAGCTCCCGGATCATTTTTGTGGCCCTTCTCTGGACACACTCCAGCAGGTCCCTGTTACTCCTGTGCTGAGGACTGGACACAGTACTACAGACTGGGTCTCACCAGAGTGGAGTAGAGGGGCAGAATCCCCTCCAAATCTACCTGTCCAGATATAGATGACCAGTACGAATCTCTTTTTCTAACCTTGTTCTCTATTGTACTGATATGCAAGAGAGAGAACAGCACTTCTAAAGTGTTCCTCTGACTTTTATCAGAGTATATGGTAAAATGGATTTGGAACCTAAAAACACTGTTCTCCTTGTGGAATATATACCCCTAGACCCATGTCTAACCTAACAAAGCCAGAGGTAGATGCACATTCAAAGAGAATAATCCATAATTAACACCTTCTATTTTTTTGTTAGACCACCTCAACCACACAAAGGTTTTAGTATGATCAGCCACAATTAACGGTAAGATGATGTGAGTCAGTAGAGGGTGAGCAGGGGGGGATGGGTTGTGTATTTTATCCTATGTCTCTAAATATCTGAGAGGTTCCAGAGATATTGTAAATGCTTTCTCTGATCCTTTCCTGAATCCAAGTCCTGATCCAGATTTCAAGTGTCATTAAATGTCATGGTGATTTTTTTGATACCATTCATTATAATTTAGGACTCTGTGCAGTTTATTCAATTCTGAGCTCTCTAATTAGACAGCACATGAGTGTTAGTTTTTCATGATGCAGAAGTCTGCCAGCTAAGTATTAGATTGATACCATATACAATTTTTTTTCAGACAAGACATCAGAAAAGTGTTGTGACTTGACTTACAAGCATAAACCTACTAATATTAGAGAGGATTGTTTCCTGTATCCCAAATCCAGTATGCTGAACTGTCTCCCTCCAGTTCCATCAAAAATTTAGGTTTTCTTCCAGAAAACATGTGAAAAAAATCCTTGATACTTAACTGAAAAATAAACCCCCCGATATAATCAGCACCAGGTTGGTCTTCCCTAAATGTTTACCTTCCTCAGTTTGCCTCCCTCAGATTCTTGGCTAACAAATACTTTGAGATTTACTCAAAGTCGCCATATCCCCGATCCTTAAATCTTTCTTCACCATATGTTGTTTTATTTTCCTGACACCTCAGTTTTTATGCCACATGCATTTTTTACTCAGTGTGAGTACGTCTCTAACAATACAAACTATTGGATTTTGTTAAATTATATAACCCTGACACAGCTTTATGGCCTTCCCTAAACTTGGTCTATGATTAAATGTATTTTTGGTCTTCTTGTTGACTTAACTATTGAAAGTTCTCTGGCAAAACAGGTGGAACAACTTCACTGGGAGCTGTATATCCATCATAAAATTGCTCTGAAATGTTATCTGTCCAGGCTGGTTGTATTTTTCATGCTTTATCACAAATCAGTGTCATGGATAGATTGCAGTTTGCAACCTGCAGTTGTTCATCGGAGTTAACTTGGCTGTCAGGGCAGCCTTTTTGCAGTGCTTTAAGCTTTCAGAACTTTTGTGCATGAAGCTGAACTATTTTTCTAGCTGGCTGGGGGATCAATGTGTGTGTCATTAGGGCACATTGAACAAGGCTATGTTACCCTTTGGAGTTTGATTTAGGATATGTGGCGTCCCAGCCTTCATGCTTTTTAGGATTGCCTGCACAGAAATGACTGCAGTATGGAACAGTTCAGATCATGAACCTGAAAGTATTTTACTTCTGTTTTAGATCATCCTCCAAATCTTCAAAATCACTCGAGACTTAGAACTCCACCACCTCCAATATCACATGCTCACACCCCGAATCAACATCACGCAGCCTCCATCAATTCTCTAAACAGAGGGAACTTCACTCCACGCAGCAACCCCAGCCCAGCTCCGACGGACCACTCTCTTTCTGGAGAACAACCAGCCAGCACTCAAGAGCCAGCCCATGCTCAGGACAACTGGTTGCTTAACAGTAACATCCCACTAGAGACTAGGTAGGTCATTTTCTTCAGTACTTTACAACATTCTGACTGTGTGTGCTAAGGATGCTATGGAAAATGCAGACATCTGTTTAGCCAGCCCTTCAGTTTGTGAACTGGTGTTTGGCTCAAGAATTTTGAGTTGTATTTATTATTCCTTTTGTCTTTTTATTTGGACTAGGAGAAGAGGAAATTGTTCTTCTTTCATAAACTACAAATATTGACTTTAACAGCTGCTCGTAAGGTTATTTTCTTCATTTACAATTGGAATCAGGATCATAGATTAAAATGTTCTTGTTTTTCCTTCTTTTATGGTCTTTTAATGTCTTTTCTTCCTATGTGGTAGGATAAACCAATATCCTATTTAAGAAACTGAAATCACTCAATATATTGGAAAGATTTAGCCTTCTATCTGTGCCTCATCAAGCAGATACTTTAGTAGTAGTTCATTCAGGAAAGGTTGATCATGTTTTACCTAATGAGGAGAGGTTGGCTGCAGCATTTTACCATCCTGCAACATTGCCCCAGCAAGCATGAAACGCTGGACAGCAGGACATCAGTCAATTAATGATGTTTACATTTAGCATTTAAATTCTTTTCCACCTATGCAAGACACAAAGGGTGTGATGAGGGGGCACTGAGTTGTTCTAGTTCATAGCTTTGTTTAGGTTCCGTGTAGGTTCTGGAGAAGGGGGTTGTCATACTCCCTCAGCCTCAGTCCTCCAATCTGACACCGAGTCCATCTACTTCTTGATGTCCACCCAAAAGTCAGTTTTTGTATTCTCCAGAGGTTTTGCTTCACCATTTTGTTTGCTACTGAGAAACCACTGGAGGTGCTGGAGTCATTAGCACCCCATACATGGTATCTTTTTTGTTCTGGAGAAGAGTCTTCCAGGCCTAATGCGGTGGTGCCTTTTTTCCCTCATATTTCTTACCTTCTCAAACCAACATGACAGATTTCAGACAGAAAAAAACCCCAACATATACTAACTGAAAACTGAGCCAGGGACCAAATCTGTCACGTGGGAATCTCATTGAGATCAGTGGTAGCTCTGTCTGTGCCCTGGAACAAAATGTACCCAGTCTTACCAGCTTCTCCTAAGAAAATGTTTGTTAAAAATGAGAGACTTTGTCAAACTTTTTGAGAAAGAGCTATGTCTGCTGGCCCTCTGAAACTTCCAAAACAGAGCTCAGGATCACATTTTATGGCATTTAAGGATAATTAATTTCTCTGTGACTGCTTAATTAAAAAGACCCAACTAAGAAGCTGGATCCAAAAGATTAAGACAAAATTATAAGCAAGTAATGCAAGTGTGATTTGGCAACAGTTTCAGTAATTACATTGTGTTACTAATTCTTGAACATATATACCCAAGCATTGACCTTTATGTATTATTTCTTTTGGAAAAGAAAAATAAATTACATTAGAAAATACTTAGGCCCCACTTCTGCAGCTATTTTTAAATAGTCCTTTATAATTCTGGAGGAAGCCTTGTGCCTTTTTTTAAACCAGGTTGTGAACTCTTGGGAGAAGAGATAATACACTGTTTTAATAGTGCCAAGACATCCTCATGTCTGACTGGAGTCTCTCAGAACCCACCACCTTACAATTAAGAAGGAGTGTCCTTGCTACTGGATCAATGGAGGAATGTCAGAGATAAAAGCTCTTTGCTGAAAACATCCTGTCCCCATTTGTCCAATTCTGGTGGCAATCAGAGAGGTAGATGGAGAGACAGCCCTACCACATCTTAATGAATGCAGGATTTCATAGACAGAACTATTGGCTGTTCCTATTAAATTGTAAATGAATACAGCCTTAGAGACTGTCCTTATTTCTTTTCCACAAAATCATTGTGGATTAAAATTTTTCAAGATCTGAAGTCGACTGTTCTTTGTGCAAGTGGGTTGATCACATTCTTGCTGTTAGTTAGGCTGAATGTTGGAGGTCTACCTGCATGAAGAGATCCTTCTGCACCGTTTAATGGTTTCCCTTGCATCACAAATCAGTCACATGTGTAACTGATCCATAACTTAACCATTTTCTTAATTTAATAGAAAACAGGTCGTCTCGAGACTGATGTTGAGGCTTTTAACACACTTGTTGGAACAGCTTAATTTTGCCCAGTGTCCCTTCAGACAACAAACGTGTTGGAAAGGGCTGTGCAATTTTATGCCAAACGGCAAATGAGTACATTTACAGAGCACAACTGACAGGCTTTTGTTCCTTCACTAAACAACATTAAGAAAAGAAAACGTGTTACAATGGTGTCATAATGCAAAGAGGCTGTGCTGCACAGATGATCAGTAAATCTGTGACAAATCTCAACTCAGTCTGCTCTTCCAAGCAGCAGAGGTCTTCCATTTCCTCCCCTGAGAATTCTGCAGACATAAAAGATCAGGTTTCAGAGCTGCTTGGCAAACTTGGATGCCCAGTTACACCTCTTCCTTGAAGTCGACCTTCCCCAGTGCAAAGATATTTAGAATCAAAAAAAGACCTCCACCTAAGAGAATAAAATGTCCAATATGTAATAAAATAAATCCTGGCCAAAAAAAAACATTAAACCAAGAATTACGGCCTTTGAAGTATAGCAATAGGAGATTATAGTAATCTCATGTCAAAAATGGAATTGTATTTCTGTTGAATATCTGGCGTTTAAAATCCCGTATTAGTCAATGGGGAGTGAAAACACGAAGAAAAAGCTACGTCTTCTAAACAGGGCTTGTCACAGGCTGTGAAATGTGCCTACAGTTATAGATTCTAAGCACCCCAGAGTCTGAAGAGGCTTGATTTTGACTCCGTGGACTCGAGGCAGTATTCAGAACTGGAAATTTAGGATGGTTTGTCACAGCCTGGAAATTTCCATACTGTAGTGCAAAGGCAAGCAGAGATGTGCAGCACAAGTATACGGCTGACACGATAAGCATATCCCATATCTGAGAACTTTCTGTGTTGCAAGAGGAAGAGCCCCTCCTTTTCATTAGTTTCCCTTTACTCCCTTTTCTCTGTTTTTCCTTTTTTCCTCTTTCTTTTCCTGTCTGCTCCCTTTATTGTTGCTCTAAAAGCAATATATTGTCAAGTTTGTGATGAGAAGATCTTTGCTCAGCAGTTACTCTTGACAGGTAAGTCTGTTCCCTCCATATTTATTCCTTACTCTTCCTCTTCTGTGGCCTCCTTTCTGTTCCTGTACACTTGACCTTGCAGGAGCAAATAAATGCCAACTAGATGGACATTTAGTTGACAAACCAGCAGCTTTCAGGAGACTTCTATTCCCAGGAAATTTCATGTAGTAATCATGTAAGGTCAGATTCTGTCACCACAACTCGCAATGAGGAGGAAGAGTGTTTTGTAAGTAGGTAGCTATTCGCAGGTAATCTCCGAGGGACCAGACTCTGTCCAGCCTTCAGTGAGGAGGACAATCATGCATTCGTCACCTCGGTGACCCAGCGACCTCTCTGATACCAATACGTACATTATAGGATTATATAACGCTCCCCTCTTCTGCTTTATTGACAATCCACAACTGAAATTCATGGAACTGATTTGACATGGATTTTAACTACTGATGAACTTTTATTGATTGATGTGTTGCTAGATGCCTTGCCTCTTACCCATACAATGCTCAGTGCATGCACATATGTTGCTGCTTTTTGCATTGAATTCAACATCTAACCTTTCCTGCATTCCCAGGGAATGTGAGGAAGCCGCAAACACTTGGGGATGGAGTAATGTCTCAAGTGCTATGGCACACAGCTCATGCATGTCGATCCACTTTACTCCAAAGCTATGAACAGGAGTCACTTTACTTTCATTCAGATCAAGGAGTAGATCTGTTCTGTCAAAGCAGCCCAGAGGCCTCCAAAAGCAGTGAGCTGAGCAAAACAACTGCTGACATTAGCAGCAGGAAAGAGGAGGAAGTAGAAATTAAAATTAAGGTTGAGGACATTTTAGAAGAGACAGTATCAATGTTTGTATAATGTGACAGTCCTGGTTTCTCTTAATATAGCATATTCCCTGAATCCAGTCTCTCTGACAAAGGAGTTCTCGTCTAAGTTCACATCGTGTCACTTGCATCCTGTAAGTGCATAATCCTGAGTAAGTGATCAAGTGTCACGATGCTCTTATATTCCTTTTGCTAGTTTTGGTCAGGGCATTTGTTCACATTCAGGTCCAGTTTTAATTCTGAAAACAGGCATGGGCAAAATCAGGACTGTTTTTCAGTTTGAAAAAGATGGAAAGAATGTTCCTTTGCCAGGTCTTGAGGAACAAGCCCGAAGGTGAGAAAGACACAGTTTGTTCCCAGCTGTGCCTCTGACTTAATTCTTTATGTCCTGCTATTCTCCTCAAAAAGTACAAAACAGTTTAGCATATATATGTCAAAATATGACTCATCAAAGTACATGCCAGTAAGGCCAGATATTGCAAAATGCCACTATCATGTGCAAAGTCAAAACCAGGCGTTTTCATGTGCAGGCCCTAAGTATCTTGCCGATTGTCTCTATTATCCAGATTGCAGCCAATACTCTTGTATTGGAATTCGGGTTACAACGTAACTTGTTTCCAGCTTTTACCTGTTTATCACTGAGACACTTGTTTGGAATGCTTATATTGAGCAAAACTTGCAGTTTGTAACTTCTCAAGAGCAAATTAATGCTCCACAAAGGGAAACAAGTTGATCAAATTGGTAACTAAAAAGTTCTGAAATGCAAAACTGAAGCTTAAGAAGAGGAGTGGTAGATTTTTGCTCAGAATCCATGAGATTGTCTAGATGGAAGTGTACTACCAAGGTACTGGCCACAGTGGGATACAGATACTGTGCTGTGCGTTTTCTAAATAACAATGGCACAGATGCAGGGGTAGAACAAGGGTCCAGCTGTGCTGGACTGAAATCTACCCTTCTGGATCCAGCAGTTCAGAAGGTTTCATGTGTCACTGGCAATAAATAATGTGAAATGAACAAAGACATCAACTTTTTTTAATACATGCACATGGGCGTGTGTGCTTATATGTGTGTATATGCGTATATATAGTGTATAGAGAGAGAAGTGAACATTCTTAAAAGCTATATATGTATATGTGTAGCACCTTATACATATAAATATATGGTCCATCATTCTAATTCCATGCACAACTGCACTATTACCATTGTGGTTTATAAGATCACACTTCATATATGCATGACTCACTGGCTTCATTCATGTTTCCATATGTATGTAGAAACATAGCAAAGCAGACATTCCTAGAGACATTGCAGGACAACCTCATTGAGATGGACATTCTCACCTCCTCCCGACATGACGGTGCTTACAATGATGGGTATGTGACACTTCTGTGGTCTTCCTGTTTACTGTACAGTCCTTATGATCCTTGCATGAAAGCATTTGGTCCTATCAATGATGTTTAAGGGCAACACCATTTCTGGCCTCTTCCAAGATGGCTTTAAAAAAAATGAGGTTCTGGGGTTTGGAGCACTGTGTCCTGTACATATTAATGGCAGAGCCATTAATATGCTAGTGAGCCACAGCATGCCATTTGCTTTTTTTCCCTTGTTTTGAAAGTCATTTCATTAGTAAGAAGTACCTACAGCAATTTTGAGTCACATAAAAACTAAGATTGATTTAATTTTCATAAAAATCTTAAACCATTATTGTTCTGGCATCCTGACACTTCTCTGTTAGTCTCATATTTTCCCCGTACCTTATCTTACAAGTGTCTGCTAGTGGTGTGTGTAAGCCAAGCATTTTGACTTAACCACCCATTCTGGCATCTTTACCTAACTTTCGATCACTTTTAATTTGTAAGCAGCTTTTAACTTGACACTTACTGCCAAAACTGTTGACCTTGTGTGGGCAGTTTCTAATTTGGTGACCATCATTAACTGAAGATCTAATTGGTGTACTTGAACACTGCAGGTACCTCTTTGCTAAGAACAGATACATCAGTGTCTAAATAAGTACTTTCTAAAACACAGGATAGTGTCTGACTCTTTACAAAAATTGATGTTTTGATGTAGACCATTAGTAGAAATAATGAATCTTTCTCTAACGCTCAGCAGTCATGCTTAGACTACCAATAAAGCCATGGCTGTAATACTACAAATAACTATTTGGGAGAATTATGTGTTACTTTATACTGCATGAACCAGTGGCTTTTCTGCATGGTGATGTTTCTGCATGTGACATTTCCCCCTGTGACTGCATGAGTGACTTCAATGGGAAAATAGAATCACATCTTCATCTGGTATTATCTGCTGGCTGGACTGACTCCCATGGATCCATGCTGACTACATTTACATTGGCTGCGAATTTGGCCCCATAAACCACGGGTGAAGGTGCAAACTGCACTGGGGCTGGCTTCTCAGTCCTCACAGGCTGCATTTTTGTTTTCCGTCAGCATGGAGAGAGACGAGTCAGATCTGTTTCCCACGTTTCGTTCCTGGAATTTGAATGCCTCGTACTTCATGCTGTCCTACCAAAATCAGGTTTTTTATTTAGGATTCCTGTGGAGGGAATTCTCATCAAGACCTGTCATTTCAGGAACTCACGGACTGCAGTGGGTTCTTTTTGTGCTGACTTTTGTGAGTCTCACACGAGGTCCTCACAGGCTGGCTCTCAGGCTGTGTTTGTAGTAATGGGCAAAGTATGGTGCCTCCCAATGTGTCACTGCACAGGAATTGCTGTTGCCTTTGACAGCAGTTCACACTTTTTAAAGGTAGGCATCGAGCTGAGGTGCTCTGGACTGCTTTATGGAAGCAGGTGCCTCTCCCCACTGGCGAGACACAAGGCTTGAATTCTGGGCTTTGATGCTTTTGGCCGTGCCGTTGTCCGACTCTCGAATTTGCCAGGCGGGGACAGTGTGAATATTCCCCTCGGTGACAATTTGGGTGCTATGGAATGGCTTAAGCTCTCCTTCCCCATCTCCATTCACCGATGCCGTACAAAAATCCGCTCTCATGCAGCGATCAGTGAATTGGTCAACGCCCTCTCCTCTTTAATCTGACCTACGCTTCTCTCCAGCCTCCCTAGGGCGTTTCCGTGGGAGCGTGAGCAGGCCCCCGGTGCTGCCCGTGCCACCAGTCTGTCCTAGCTGTGCTTGGGGTATTCATCTCACTCAACGCCGGCTCTTCCACAGAGGGGACTCCTGCCCTTGAAGAGTTCTCTGTGGCATTGCTGGCACTGTGATCTTTTGTTTTGTTTTGTTTCCCTTTACTCTGTGTGACTTGCCTTTTGATTTTTATTCTTCTCTCTCGTGCATGCCATCCGTGTCTGTAGCCAGCATTGTGTGGAGCTGCTTTTCCTCGTCCCAGCAGCAGTGGCCATCCTCCCACCCCACATCTCCCTCAGCTTCCGTTTGTGTGAGGAGTCACTTGCTGTTGGTCTTTCTTCCCTCAGGCACTTCCTGTTCAAACCTGGAGGCACTTCTCCCCTTTTTTGTACAACGTCGCCAGGATACCCCTTGACGTCCAGCACTGTGTACTCACCTCCCCCTAGGCCCCTTCCCAGAAGTACCTTCTCTAGGCCTGCCTTTAACCTGAAGAAACCCTATAAGTACTGTAACTGGAAATGTGCTGCTCTGAGTGCCATTGTCATCTCGGTCACTCTGGTGATCCTGCTGGCGTATTTCATAGGTAAGCTTTTTTCTGGTCTTTCTTTCTGCTTTTGCTTTCATTTCTCTACAAACCCACCCTTTATTCTAACGTTTGGGAAGCTGAGGGTCAAGATCTTGGTACAGAGTGATGGGGAAATGAGGATTCTGTTGACTTACTTTTGGTTGCAATACTACGGTAGGAAACCTAACAAGTCATAAAGACAGAAGAGTTTAGTAAAACATGAGTCATGCACTGTGCTCCCTTCAATGGCATGGGCTGTTTACATTCTGCAAAGAAAAGTGTTCCTGGAGTGAGACAAACCCACCAGGTTTTTCTCAAACAGGCAGTGAGGTCCATGTCCCAGTCACGGTCACATCCAGGTCCGTGGGAATTTCCTGTTGTTGACTGATAGGACAGAGTAAGGACCAAGATCCTGATACACAGAAGTACAGTTTTATTCTATCTTTTGGTGGCACATTCTAGCCATTTAACGAACTATATAGAAGTTCATGGGGTGACATGGAGGATAGAGAGGGCCTCAGTTTAGATTGTGGTCCAACAAAGCCTTTTTTGAGTAGGGGGAGTTGGAGAAATTTGCTACTTGGGTGGAGAAGCAGTGGATTTTTGTTGAGCTGTGCATGATCTGAATTTCTTTGGTTTGTAAGGGTTGTCAGTGTTCATTGCAAAAAAGCACTCTCAGTATTTGTTGCAACAGTAATTGAACCGTTAGAAGTGAAAATTGTATTTTTCCACCTGTAAAGCTGGGGTGTTACCATTGCTTTTTCTCCAGTTAGATTTGATATTCGTGTTAGAAATGTCTTACAAAGGTCCATTCCTAGGCTTTTATTTTAAACTCTCTGTGGTGCAAACTCTAGGTGTCAGAGACTTACAGATGTGATCATGGGTAACAAAACCCATTTCTCATGGCACAAAGGAGTCTTTTTGATTTCACTGTGACTTCCTGTACACTAATGATCTATAAAAGGTTGTGGTTAGAATTACAAATCTTAGCCTGGATCGAAAGATTTTTGCTTTGATTTCACATGAGTACAATTAGCACTACCACAAAGGATTGCTTTTACTGTGTTCCTTTTATGTACACTTCTTTAATGACTGATACTTTTCCACTTCTGCCTTGCATCATACTCTGGTCACTTTTATGTCTCCTGTAAGAGGAGCAGG